ACTCCATTGGCTACAACCCTCTGTTGCCTGTCACTCAGCCACTGTCTTACCAATTCAACAATATTGGAATCCATACTTAGAGATTGCAATTTATTGATGAGCCTTCTATGTGCAACAGTGTCAAAAGCCTTACTGAAATGTAGGTAAGCAATGTCTACTGCACCACCCTGATCTATCATTTTAGTTACCCAATCAAAAAAATCTATAAGATTAGTTTGGCATGATCTCCCTGAAGTAAACCCATGTTGTCTCTGATCTTGAAATCCATGTGTTTTTAGATGTTCAACAATCCTATATTTTAACATGGTTCCCATTACTTTCCCCACTACTGAAGTAAAGCTTACTGGCCTATAGTTGCCCGACTCCTCCCTGCTACCTTTCTTGTGCATGGGCACAACATTCGCTAACTTCCAATCTTCTGGGACTACTCCTGTTAACAATCATTGGTTAAATAAATCTGTTAATGGTTTTGCTAGTACACCACTCAGCTCTTTTAATAACTTTGGGTGTATTCCATCAGTTCCCATTGACTTATTTGTCTTAACTTTTGACAGTTGAAATAGAACCTCTTCCACTGTAGACTCACATGTAATAAGTGACTTATTTGTCCTTTTTCCTAACTGAGGTCCCTTTCCTTCATTTTCATCTGTAAATACTGAACAAAAATATTCATTGAGGCAGTCAGCTAGACCTTTATCCTCTTCTACAAACACTGCTAGGACAACTGTCTACAAGGTTTTATTCTAGATGAGTGTTAGGAATTACACCCTTTTGTTCGCAAACATTATTTTTTCTCATTCGGTAGGTAAAACTATTGAACACTGACCACCCCCTGGCTTATTAACTATAAATAAAACTGCAAGAATAAGTGCTCTCCCTGTGTGGCCGCCGTTTGTATGGCCGAACGCCATGTGCTGGAGAAAGCGGTGGCCATCTTGTTGTAGGAAAAGAGGAAGCAGGACTTGGTCGTCGAGTGTCTGGAACTCCAAATCGGACACTCGACTTCCTGAACGCCAGTCAATTTCATGAACGCCTGCTTCTTTTCACCGATCAGCCAGGAGAGTGCTGTTCGGCAGGTTTGATCCCACGAACTAGGTGAACAAACACTTCCCATGAGTCAGGGAAACCGTTCGTGGTTTGGTTTGTAACTACTATAATGGACGGACCGCTACCCCTGAAACTGTGGAACTGTTTTGGGCTGGAGCCTCATGAACAGTTGGCCAAAACTTTTTGTTAAACGTTTTTTATGTATTATTCTGTGTGGCAAGGTTACTGGTTCTTGGAGGGGCCTGCTTGCCAGCCTTTTGCCCCAGGACTATAGCCCTTGGTCTAATCCTACAGCATTAGTCTAATCTGTTCGGTAACCGAACCATTGAGGGGAAAAGGCACGAACAAAGCCTTTCCACAGCCCTGAACCAAGGTCTAATACAGTTTTGAACTTATAGCATTGCCATCTGTACCTGCATTCACCCAAGAGTATCTGATCCCTGTCTTTCAGTTCAGGCAGATGCTAACACAGATGATAGCATAACCGGAACTACAATCTGATTTTGTACAGTGAAGGTGATGAAAAGTAATTCAAAATATGCTACAAAAATTAACACACACACGCACAAACACACACACACACACAAAAAATGTAATTTAGCAAGAATCAAAAAATACTATTCTGATTTGAAAATAATTATTTGTTTTTTTAAAATCTGTTTATTTGTCTAAGCATTGCAAGTTAAATTACATGCCATTGTACTGAAGATAATAAAAAATACTATATTTTTGTGTGACATTAAATAAAAAAAAAAAATGGGGGCAAAGATTAGGTCTATGTATCCTTTTGCCTGGTTTGGTGAGAGTCAAATTTCCCATGCACAACTTCTGCCTGTCTCCAAAAGGCAGTCTGTGTAAACTTTGCATCAGATTATTATTTTGATCTTCTGATACCATCAGCCTAGATAACTTTCATGCTTTTTTTTACTTTGTGTGTTCATAGTTGGCACTACATCACATGCAGTTCACGTGAGGAAAGGTTGTACAGCTCTCATAACTTTATTTGCACAGACTGTTGAAGTAGGATTACTTGGCAACATTTTTTGATCATGAAGGCCCACGCTCAGTTCTATTCAGCCATGCACTCACTCACGTCAGTCTGAGCTGAGTCACACAGCTAGGCTACTTTTTGTACTTTTAAAAATGATCTGTCTCAATTTAACCAAGTCAACAAACAAACCGTTTTAAAAATCAATGATGTATTTTTTGTTTTGAAATATAAAATTAATATCACATAGAACTTTTCTTATCAGTATTTTATTAGATATACAGAATAGAAATGGCACACACCATAGATAGCACTTACCCGGTGTCAAAATGTTCCGGACCCTGATTTTATGATCGTTTGTGCCACGACCGCCCCTCTATCAAGTTGGATTACTTTGAGCGTGCTGACGTCCAATGTTTATATTGCTGCTGACTAGCGCTCGGTAGAACACTGGTCCGGCGGTATCCACCCTAACCCTCAGAGCCAGGCCTCCCAGACTTGGGTCATTGTGTGTATGCATGGGTCAGTGTGTGTTTCTGCATGGGTCAGTGTGTGTGCCTGTATGGGTCAGTGTGTGTGTGTCTGCATGGGTCATTGTGTGACTGCATGGCTCATTGTGTAACTGCATGGGTCATTGAGTGTCTGTATGGGTCATTGTGTGTCTACATCGGTCAGTGTGTGTGTCTGCATGGGCCAGTGTGTGTGTCTGCATGGGTCAGTGTGTGTCTGCACAGGTCAGTGTGTGTATGTCTGTATGGGTCTATGTGTGTGTGTGTGTCCGTCTGTATGGGTCAGTGTGTGTCTGTATGGGTCAGTGTGCATGTCTGCATTGGTCATTGTGTGTGTCTGCATGGGTCAATGTGTGTCTGCACGGGCCAGTGTGCCTGTATGTGTGTGTCTGCATGGATCAGTGTATGTATATGGGTCAGTGTGCATCAGTCTGCATTGGTCAGTGCATGTGCATCAGTTTGCATGGGTCAGTGTGTGTTTACTTGAGTCAGCGTGTGTGTTAGTCTGCGTGAGTGGGTGGAGCGAATGAGGAGGAAAATTTTTCTTCGTCTAGGGTGGAAAAAATGCTTACACCCACCCTGTTTCCAGAGCATGCTTTACAATTCATAATAAACATTTAGACCAGGTATTAAAAGGTTTTTTAAGGTACCTTTATTGCACCCAAAAAAATTAATGATTTCAGCCTTGAAAAAGTAGAAAGGTTTGGAGGTGTTGAAATACTGCCCAGGTTGTGTAGAATAAAGATACCTAAAACAACATTTGAGTGGTCCAAGTATATTTTATTGTGCTAATAATGTAAACCATCACTTTTTCTTAGCAGTGAAATAATTGTGAAGGACTATTTGAGTTTCACATAATTGAAGCTTATGAGTTATGGCTCGTTACATACCAAATGTTACATGTTGGTAATGTTGGTAAGTCCCAATACACCTGAGTTGGCACACAAAAATATGAGAGTCCTCTACACTTGTAGAGCAACATAACTAACTTTATTATGGACACCCAGAGCACATATATGCAAACAACTCATTACAATGTGGAGAGTAAAAAAACTGTCGCTCAAGAGAGTGGTTCAACCAACATTCCACCTAGAGGAAAAATAAAGCAGCTCTAAGTGCCACAGAGTCTGCTCATCTGGGGAACACATGGACAATAGAAAGTAAAGCGCATCCTGCAGCAAACAATAATGTCAATGTCTTCAGCAGGGTTATCTACTAAAGTGAGAATTCTCTGGAAGTCTGCTATGCTTTCAGTATGGCTATTCTGGCTTTAAATTTGAAATTCTCACTTTAGATAATAACCCTGTATGTGTCACTGATCCTGAACATCTAGGGAACACATTGGCTCAGTCCAGATTTTCCACAATGACATTCCAGATTACAGAATTTGTCACAATTAGAGTTGAGCGGACACCTGGAAGTTCGGGTTCGGCGGGTTCAGCCAAACTTCGAAAAAAAAATCTGGGTTCGGGATCGAACTTGACCCCGTATTTGACCCCGAACCCCATTGACTTCAATGGGGACCCGAACTTTTGGGCACTAAAATGCCTCTAAAAAAGTCCTGGAAAGGGCTAGAGGGCTGCAAAAGGAAGTAAAATGGGGGTAAGAGTAGGACAAGTGCCCTGCAAACAAATGTGGATAGGGAAATCACTTAAAATAACATAAAATACATAAAATAAGCAGCCGCTTAGTAGATAACTCCCTAATTCCCACGGTATTAGGGATCTATCTACCAAAAGGCTGAAAGACCTTATAAAACCTTACCCCGTCCTGCAATTAGGCTCAGATCACTCTGATTGGTGGGTTTAAGTCATCCAATCAGAATGCTCTGACAGGTAAATGAAGAGACTGACAGGTAAGTCTCTACATTTCCCTGTCAACTAGGGCCCCCACCCGCCGCTCATGGGTGGGGGCCGGGGGGGGAGGACAGTAGGTCCCCCCACCCTTATTGTTATTTAGGGCCCCCACCCTCTGCGCAGGGGTGGGGGTTGGGGGGGTGGACAGTAGATCACCCCCCCAATTTTTATTTATGGCCCCCACCCACCGTTTAGGGGTGTGGGCCGGGGGGGAGGACATTAGGTCCCCCCCCCAATTTTTATTTATGGCCCCCACCCACCACTCAGGGGTGGGGGCCAGGGAGGGAGGACAGTAGGTCCCCCCCACATTCTTATTTATGGCCCCCATCCACCGCGCTGATGGTAATGGTGGTGATCACCATGATCACATGGCCGCAATAGGAGTCTATAAAGTTGCCTGCAGGGGGACTGTCTGAGCTGTCAGGCAGTCCCCTTGACTCTGGATATGTGAAAAAAATAAAAATAATTAAATAATAATAATTACACATATATTTAATATGTATAATATATTATAAAATAATTAAAGCATTTTTAAATATATTATACATATAATGAAATCATATACATGCATTATATAAGTGTACTTTGAGATTTATATATATCACAAAGTACACTTATAATGAAATCATATACATGTATTAAATATGTATAAGGTATTATAAAATGCTTTCATTATATTATAATATATTATACACATACAGGAAATAAAAGTGTGTGTGTGTGTGTATGTATATATATCTTTAAACAAGATGGGAACTTCGTTTGCCCACCCACATAGTGGCCAAATAATTAACACCTCTCAATATATTACATGTACCACTGACTATGTGATCTATATGCTCACTTGCCCTTGTGGACTGTCCTATGTGGGTAAAACCAATCTGACCCTCAGAGATCGGATACGGGGCCATCGATCCACCATTACCACCGCATTTCGTGATAACACTAGTGTTATAGTGGGACATGGTTATAGACTTTTTCTACATAATTCTTTAACGGACACTATTTTCACTTACGTTCTATATACACTTGCCATGTCTCTTTTTATATCTAATTGAATCTATGGAATGCTCTTTATATGTGTTCCAATATGATTCTCATAACATGTATACTTCACTAACGTTTTGATAGACAGTCACACAGACTTCACTATTCACGCCACGGAACTATGTGAAACCGGCCTTATATTATTTACACTGGTTTCTTAGCAACCACAATTTTCATCATCACGCATGTCTAACGTGGCTACGTTACTACGCAGATCACGTGATGACCGGCAGACACTTCCGGGTTCTGAGTAAGGGGAGGAGGGTTACAATCACTATTGGTGAGTATACTTTACTTTTCTTATATAAAGTTTGCTCTTATGATTGTATGTTGATCTTGAGGAAGACCCGAACAGGTCAAAACGTCGATCATTTTATTTCATACCGTTTGATGGAATAAATAACCTTATAATTCTTGAAGACTGGAGAGTGCATCCTTTCTATGTATATAGTATATATCATTTCAGCGTGGGATAGCACCAGGGCATTGGACTGTATATTATTTTACCAGCAAGGGTAAGTGCCATTATACCTGTACTATATATAAATATATACACACACGTATTATGTACACACGTATATATATGTGTGTATATAATACGTGTGTGTATATATTTATATATATATATATATATATATATATATATATATATATACTCACACACATATGTAATAAATGAGACAATTACAAAAATGTACAGGAACAATAGTTTGAAGAGGGCCCTGCTCAAACGAGCTTACAGTCTATAGGATGTAGCAATCAAGCAGAGCAGGAGGAGAGAATAGAGTGCTACCCTTTAGGAGAGAGCAAGGGACAGGTATGTGAGGTAGAGGTTACTCTGGGAGGCCATGAGCTTTCCTAAAGAGATGGGAGGCTATTCCAAAGGAAAGGCTATTCCAAAGGAAAGGAGCCACCCATGAGAAGTCCTGCAGGCGTGAGCACAGGGGGAGAGCGCAGCGCATAGGAGAAAGTCACGGGCAGAGAGGAGAGACCGAGAAGGGGCATACCTGCAGATCAGTGAAGAGATATAGGAGGGGCTAGAATTGGCCAGTGCTTTATAGGTGTGGATTAGCCTACTCCGTCTAGCATGTAAGCTCATTGAGCAGGGCCCTCAACCCCTCTGTTCCTGTGTGTCCAACTTGTCTGGTTACAACTACATGTTTGTTCGTCCACCCGCTGTAAAGCACTGCGGAATTTGTTGGCGCTATATAAATAATAACATAATAATAATAATAATTAGTACCTTGAATTGACTCCTATATGATACAGTAAGCTAATGTAAGGACTGACAAAAGGGAGAGGTGTGAGAGGAGCGACAGGAGAGGAAAATCAGTCTAGCTGCAGCATTCACTATTAGGAGATAGGTACTATAATCCATGTGAGAGATTACTAGAGCATGGAAAAGCTCCTTAGTAGCATCTTGCGTAAGAAAGGGGCTATGTTTAAAGGTGGAATCTACAGGATTTGGTAACATACTGGATGTGAGGCTCAAATGTGAGGCCAGAATTAAGTATAATGCCAAGACAGCACACTTGCAAGGATGGACTGATGTGGGTACCACTAACTTGAAGGGAGGGCGAAAGAGGAGAATCAGTATTAGGAGGAGGAAAGACAAGGAGTTCAGTTTTAGAGAGATTGAGTTTCAAAAATCGGGAGGACATCCAGTCAGAGATGGAAAAAAGGCAAGTAGTGACACATTGCAGGACGGCAGGGAAGAGGTCCAGGGAGGAGAGGTATATCTGAGTGTCATCAGCATGCAGGTGGTATTGGAATCCAAATGAGGTAATAAGTTTGCCAAGAGAGGCAGTATAAAGAGAAAATAGAAGGGGACCAAGTACAGAGCCTTGGGGGACTCCAACAGAGACAGGACGAAGGGAGGAGGTATCATTAGAAAAAGAGACAAATCTGAAGGGTAGGTAAGGCATGATCCAGGTGTGGTTGAGAAAGAGGGGGAATTCTTTCATTAGCTGTTTAATCTTGTCAGTAAAGTAGCATGCAAAGCTATCGGCTGTAAGGTTAGTTTAGGGGGTGGACACAGCAGGGCAAAGAAGGGAGTTTAAAGTATTAGAAAGACGCCTGCGATTGTGGGAGCATGAGCTAATGAGGGAGGAAAAGTATGACTGTTTGGCAAGGGCTGTGCTGTATGAACGCAACATGAATTTGTACTGGAGTAAGCTTTCAGCAGAACAGGAGCATCTCTGCAGGTATCGTGTTAATTTAGTGTGCCACAGTTTGGGGCGTGTTCTCCTCAAGGTGCATGTTTGGAGCGGGGCTGCAGCATCCAGGGCAGAG